CTGATCTAAGTGTTAGCTCCCCCCCACCCATCTTGATGTTGTGTACAAATTTGATGGTTTCCCCTTCTATCCCCTCATCAGGATCATTTATGAAGTTGTTGAAGTCTACTGGGCCTAAGATAGAACTTTGCTTCCTTCCATGCAGATGACATTCCATTGAGAACAACATGCTGAGTGCAGGTGGTCAATCTACTGCAAATTCATCTGGTCTATCCTTACCAAGAAGTAGACTGTGATCTACTTTGTCAAATGCTTTATTTAAGTCCCTTATCAAAGCTCTAACTGCTATTGGTGAAAATATTTATAATTAAGAATGAACCCAGTGTTACGAACTAAGCAAACTCATTCATCAATAACCCTACTAGCTTTACTTCAGCAGCAGGCTCGTAATCCTGCACTTCTGATAGGCCCGCGGATAAGCGAATCGTGATTGGCCGCCTCTGGCTGACCTGATTGGCTGACAGCGGGCCGTCTCTGATTGGACGCTTTTAGAGCGGTTAATTCAAGTTCATTGGTTGTTGTGACAGCAGCCAGCTCTATAAAAGAGCTGCTGCTGCCCAAGTTGTTGTTCTGTTCTGAAGTCACTATTAAAGAGTTGAGTCACTATTCGATGCCTCGTCTCCGTTATTGCGCCCACTCCTCCAGATCCAACACCTAGGGTAACCTAAGGGCCAGAGGAAATTTATTGTGGCTGATTTGATAAGAGGAGATAAAAATCTTTCTGGAATGAAATGAAAAAATCACTGAGATGAAAAAAAACACCCTCATTCGGCTCCTTATTTTAACATGAAACTGAAAGTGATGAGATACATGTTTTTGTTTTTTCTCAAAGAGAAAAAACATTCTTATGAAATAAAAGTACATTTTAAATGAAATATAGGAAGCAGTTGCTTAGAAGTAATGGTCCACTGGGCCAATATTCATTTTTTATGGGAGCCAAGCAGCCTAATCTTCTCCTTTGATCCTGTCTTGCATTTCCCCAGGCATTTATTTATGGAATGTCTTAATTACTGTATGCTAACAACATTTTTGCCCACAAAAATATGAATGCAATGGATATTTATTCAAGATACCAGTTTCTCCAGCTGGCATGCAATATAAAATAAATGTGGTATGTTTTTTTTTTTAAAAAATCATGACACTGGTTTGAAAGCTCAGTCTATACAATTTTCTGTCTCTGATTGAATGCTAAAAAACCAGTTATACAAGTCTATAGGCAACTGCAGTGCAAACCAAGGAAAGGCAATGGTAGGGGGATGGCAAAAGACCAGTGCAAAACAAACAAACAAACAAACAAAAATCATAATACCACCTCAGGGAGTTTTGGAATACTAGACTGAATTCATGTAGTTGCATGGAAATCCTTGGCTGATAATTTAGTGTTTGATTTATAACATATTATGAAGCAACATTTAGATTAAATGTGAAACAGAGTAGAATTGTTGATGTCAGGAAAACTATAGCTTCCCTTTGTTAAAATTACTTTGCAGAAGGATTGCAAGTCTATCTACAGTCCCCTGGTTGGAATCCGGCCAAGAAATTGTTGGATTGTGTTTTAACTTGTAAGACAAAGTTCATTCCCAGAAGGCTACATTATCAGAAATATATGTCTTCAGAGAAAGAATACTTCTTTCTGTTGTGGCCTGGATCAGGTTGCATCATTAAACTTGCACAAAAAATCTGGGCAGAATATGGTCCTCACATTGGAACAAGAGTGAATAGTCAGAATGCCATTTTACTGAATTTGTAGTGTGTTCTCAATAGAACCTGCTTAATGAAGAAATGAGGAGATCCTGGGTAAATCTCCACAGCCTTCAGGTATTTCCAGATGTGCACACTGAAAATAAATGTTCTTTCTCAGAGAAGACAAGAAAGACAGCAAAGTTATAATGAGAGATTGAAAGTAATGGAGATCAGTTAAAATACTGGATTCTTTTTCAAAATCTGAATTTGTATGTGATAGATAAATGCAAGGATGGCTAACAATATTAGACTGTGTTTTTATACATCTACATGTATCCTTGGGAATAGCCAATGAGGCACCATGAATACATTTCTGTAAATGCATAAATATTAATAGTTGCATTTTAAATTATTCAGTAATATCCAGGCAAACAAATCCAATTTTTAGTCAGTGCCTTTTAGCTTACAGTTTAATAAGTGACTTTATTTTAACAAAGTCTTTAAAAATGACAGCTCAAACTTGGTGTTTTGACATTTTACAGTTAGTTTGCAACATCTATCTCTTTTCTTGATTCTGCTTCTGCTTCCCTGGGCACCAGTTTTAATAATCTTGCAATTCCAATAATTCTGGAATTCACCTTTGAAAAGGTAAGAAAATAGCACTTTGCAGTACTACTCATCTTAGACCAACTGATTCACTTCTTGAAAATGTACCAGAGAAAGAATTATCCTGTTATTAAGAGTAGAAACATTCATTTCGTTAGATAATCTTTCAAGATTAGCATCAGAAAAATCCATTATCCTAGAATCAATGGACTTCTGGAAAGCAAATGAGCTATGATTTTTCAGCCTTAAATGAGCTTCTACCACAACAAGGCCACTTTTTCTCTGAGGGAGACAACCTCCAGCCAATAAGATGATGTGTCCAAAACAAGCTGAAGCAGGATGACAACTATTAATTTGAAATGCTATTTGTGGCTTTCTTGAGAAAAAGTTGTTGACACACTGTAATTGGCAGCTCACATTCTGTTTTTCCTGTTCTACTTGCTCTTTTAAGAAAGGGTTGGTGCCCCATAGTACAGTATCATTCCGATGAGATGCAGGATGAGCCAACCAAACAAGACTACAAATGTCAGAATAATAGCTCTGGGGAAGTTTCACCATAGTCACTGTCCATCTGAAATTTTCAATGCTTCACAGTACCGGCTGTTCCAGTTGCTCTTTGATTTCTGAGTACACACTCTCTTCCATAAGCTCCATTACAATGCACAAGAACTAAACAAGAAAACTATTGTTTTTACAGAAATTGGGAAGGACACAATGCTAGAAATTATTGTGTCATAGTCATTCAAATACAGGTAGTCCTCAAGTTACTTCCATTCATTCAGAGATTGTCTGAAGTTACAATGGCATTGAAGGAAGGAACATATGACCAGTCCTCAAAGTTCTGGCCATTACAATAGAATAGAATACTTTTAGAATAGAAGAATAGAATAGAATACTTTTATTGGCCAAGTGTGATTGGACACACAAGGAATTTGTTGGTGTAAATACTCTCAGTATACATAAAAGAAAAGATATATTTGTCAAGAATCATCAGGTACAACACTTAATAATAGTCATAGAGTACCAATAAGCAATCAAATCATACTAGGAAACTGTCAATATAAATTGTAAGATACAAGCGATAAAGTTACAGTCATATAGTCACAAGTGGGAGTGGATGGGTAATAAGGAGTGATGACAAGATTTAACAGTAATAGCAGTGCAGACTTTGTAATAGTTGAACAGGGTTGAGGGAATTATTTGTTTAGTAGAGCGATGGCTTCCGGGGAAAAACTGTTCTTGTGTCTAGTTGTTCTGGTATGCAATGCTCTATAGCATCGTTTTGAGGGTAGGAGTTGAAACAGTTTATGTCCGGGATGTGAGGGGTCTGTAAATATTTTCACAGCCCTCTTTGACTCGTGCAGTATACAGGTCCTCGATTGAAGGCAGGTTGGTAGTAATAGTTTTTTCTGCAGTCCTAATTACTCTCTGAAGTCTGTGTCTGTCTTGCTGGATTGCAGAACCAAACCAGACAGTTATAGAGGTGCAGATGACAGACTCAATGATTCCTTTGTAGAATGTTCCTGAACAAACTTTGATGCTTGACCATCGGCTCACCCTTGCAACATCCCAAAGTCATGTGATTGCTGTTGCCAAGCTTCTCCGCTGGCTTCCCCCAAAGTCATTGGGAAAGCTAGCAGGAAAGGTCACAGGTTGCTTTAGTATATCTCCCTCCACAGGCCTTCCTTTGCTTGTATGAACCACACCCTCTTTGCTTGTTTGCACCTCTCAGTATCATGCCATGGCTTCCCTGCGCTCACTCACTCACAAAAGCCACATCTCCTTTCCACGACCTCCCTGAGCTCACAACACACATCATGTGCCCTTTTCCCGGCACACATGCCACATGCACCCCACACCCTCTTCCCTGGCCTCCCTATCTCATGTTTCAGCACTATCCCAACTCACATAGAGCCTGCACTGGGCGTCCTGAAGCCTCCCCCATCCCGTGAAATTTCTGTGTTCCTTACCTGGAATTCCCTGTTCTTTCCATTTAAAAACTTGTGTGACTTGAGGTTAAAACTGGCATAGCCTGGCTTGCTGTTGCAAAGCAAAGTGATCACGTTATGTTGAACTTTATAACCATATCACTCAATGATGGCTACACCAGTCCCAACTGCCTTGGTAACTTAAGGAATACTTTTACTCAGAGAATTTGGAATTCCTCCTTTAAAGTGTTTTTTTGAAATCTTGACAAAACTAGTGAGAAATTTAAGGAAATAGAAATGTTTTGGCTAATGTAGTTAGGATTTCTATTTCTCCCATTTATTAAGAATACTAACTTTATCTAAACAGAGGACTCTTGTTACAAAGCATAAAGACATGAAAATAATGATGTGTGTGTCATGTCATTACACAGGTCATGCTTGTTCTCCAACACCTGATTGCAAGTACATCAGTGATGTCAGTTGCCCAATGTCATCGGGCATTGTATGATTTGCCCCCTTCTCACTTATATATGCTTATGTTACACATAAAAACTGATTTATTCTTTCCTATGTCTGGAATCCAAAGAAGAGACCAGAGAAAGAAGGTGATAAGATAGGCACCTGCTGAAAACCAACAGTCTCAAGTGATACATTTGTGGTGGATGAATTGATATGAAAATCAATAATTGTGCTGATTGTGTTAATGTGAAGTGCTGCTTTGCAAACAGCACTAGGACCAAGTAACAATATAAAGTACAACTCAGTTTTTTATTTGTGTAGAAAAATTATAAAATAAATAAGTCATTGAGTTGTGTGAATATATTAAATAAGAATCACATTTACAGAAATAGAAAACCTCTATACTTACATATTTACATTAAAAAAAATCTAAAAGCTATGTTTATCTTACACATAAGCTACTGTAAATTAACATAAGGCTATGTAGATTATTCTGATATGTCCCATTACATTTCATAGTTTATCTAAACATGTGCATAGAATTATAACTTGAATTAAAGGTGCCTCTTTGTAGAAGCAATTTATATCTGTAGAGAAAACATTGAAGCTAATAATATTGCAAACTAAATTCAAGATGCTTTATCTTGCTCTTTAATACTCTTTAAAGAAAAATCCCATGGAAGTTGATAGTACAGTATCTTTGTTTTGATCTTTGTTTTGTTCAATAAATATTGTATCTGTCTCACACACACACACACACACACACATACACACACACAGAGAGAGTTTCATTATTTGCTCTTATATGGTAGAAGATGTTCAATTTCAGCAAAAGCTTGGCTCAGAGCAATGCTTGTTCATCCTAGGGAAGAATCTCACAATTCTTATTGCTTGGATAGTAAGTCACTCCCCACTTTAAAACATTAAAGGGAAAACTGAACATTCTGGAATAGTTATGTTGCAGATGTTAAGGACTAGACTAATCTCAGGAAACAAAGCCACCAACAAATAACTCTGTTGGTTGATAGTTTTGCAAACTGATTGCATCTCCCCAATGTTTTGAAACCAGAACAACAACTTGGAAGCTGCTCCAATTGCTTATGTACTTTCCAATGAGACAAAACTGCATTCAACACTGGCACTTCTGGCCTGGCACATTTTCATCGAGCAAGCGGGAATCCTCCAGATGACAAGGTTGGAGGCGTGGGAGAAACGAGGCACACCCTGAACCATTTGTCCCGGTTAGGAGTCATTGAGCTCTTTAAGCAGCGTGAGAGACTTACTCAAAGCCAGCTCCATTTCTGCCTTTCACCTTCATGGGTGTGTGTGGAACACAGCAAAGAATACAATCACAAGGGCCTTTCAAATTCATGCTTTCTCAGATACTCTCTCGATCAGTTCATCTCTGCCAAAGGTAACATGTGCAAAAAAGAAGTATGTGGGGCAGCGGCCATTCGGTATTCTCCTACAACTGAGTAGCACTGACTGATGTGCTGACTGCTGCTGTGAAACCAAAGCTGTTCACTCCTGCATGTGCGGTCACATGCTGGCAATTGCCAAGAAAAAAAAAAAAGGACCACCCTCCTTGCAGCACACCTCTGGCTTGCTGGCAAATAAAGTTAACTGAATTCTTGATTTCTTGATTTGAATTTTTCAGAGATGCCTCCATAAATTAGTACATGCTTCAGCGATGGCTTCTTTTATTATCTGGAAGAGGCAAACTGGCATTAGCAGATGGCAGATAGGACACTGATTTCTGGAAAGCTGAAAAAAGGAGATTGCTACATATAGTACTAAACTTAGGTTTTGTTAAAAGATCTTTGGGGACAACAAAGATTTGTATGACTATACAAGGAATGCTGTGGTTGTGGCTGGTGGTTAGCAAAGCCCATGTTTGAGACCTGAGAGCTGCTGAATGGTGGTAAGCTCCTGTCATTGGCTCCACCTCCTTGACTGGGACATGAAAGGAACCCCCACAAACACCCCCCAGGCGGTGGTGATGTCACGGCTAATCCTTTCAAGCCGGAAGAGCCTTAAACAGTGCCTCTGACATGAACAGAGGGGAGGTGACTATACAAACCGGACATCAACTGGAACCAAGTAACAATATAAACTTATAATAACTCAATTTTTTCCCTGTATAAAATTATAAAATTATCAAGCCCCTCAGCTGTGCAAACATACTATATTCAATAGAAAGCACATTTGTGATAATAGAAATCTCTGTGCTTACATACTGACATAACAAACTCTTTAAAATATGGTATTTATTTATACTTTCCTATGTATGCTATTCTGAATATTTATCACAGTATTTATCTGAAAATATACATAGAGCTATAACTTGTATTATGAAAGTGATTTATTTCTGAACTGATCCAATTTCTGGCCATCAATCTCAACCAAGGACCTTTGCAAAAATTGCCAGAATTCCAGCTGGTAGAACAGGCAATTCTTGGATGGAGTTATCAGTCAGTTAGGTAGAGAGTTGGGTTTTGGGTTTTTTTTTGCCTCAGGAGAGTTGTATATTTGATGACTGACCAAATTATAGTGCCTGACTCTGTAGCTTCTACATTTTTTTCAGGAAATGTTCTACATTACATATATGGCAAAGACCTACTCAAAAATGCCCAACACCTCTTATGAAGTTTATGAAGCTCATCTCCAAGAAGGTGGAATTATTGATAGGGATCCTAGGCAAGTAATGTACAGGTAGTCCTTGACTTGCAACAATTTGCTTAGTGATAGCTGGTATAATTTGAAGTTACAACGGCAACTGGCTCATATTTATGACAGTTGCAGTATCCCTTTTGCAACCTTCTAACCACCATGTTGCTAACTTAACAACTGCATTGATTCATTTAAGAACTGTAGCAAGAACGGTGGTAAAATGGGCAAATCTCACTTAACTACTGTATCAGTTAGCAACAGAAAATTTGGGCTCACTTGTGGTTGTAAATCAAGGTCTACCTATAATAAAAAGGGTATATTTCTATTTGTTTCAAATGTCCATGCTAAGGTTGACAGCTAAAAGATAATGACTTTCTTAAAGGAATTGGATGAGTTTTAAAAAGATTTATGTTATTATATGCTATAACATAAAGCTTCATAATATGATAAGAGTATTGGTACAGAAAACATAAATAGTTATAAACTTTTGGAGTTGGAAGAATAGTATAAGATATAGTTAAAAGAATCCTTACCTTCATTCTTTTTAGACATTACTACTGGGAATTCTGTTTTCTTTTTTAAGATTTCTCCTTTCTTCTATTTCATTATAGTTAGTGCATTTTTTTCTTACCCTGAATAATAAAAACATTCATCTCCATCACTTTGTTGAATTTATTTTGCTTTTAAATTGTTCAAGCATAAGTACAAAATGATTTTAAACTATGAGACAGAAAAACTGTGGCATATCAGGTTCCTTGCTCCATTTAATTTTCTTCATTTGTGAGAAGCCAAGTGCCATGGCACAAAGCTTTTGAATGAGCAAATCTCATCTAACCGTGCAACTATTGTTATTACAACATTCTGTCAACATTTCAAAAGTGCTTCAAAGCCTTAAAGTTTGGGGGCATCTGTTTTGAATATAAAAGAGTTTGGCATGTTTAACAATCAAAAGATACAGTAGTCCATTCTTTCTCCAGGAAACCCTAAAGAAACCAGATATTAAACTTGCAAGAATTAAAATACTTCTGCATAAATAGAACGCTAAATCCAGTTGAACAATTGGAGGGTGCAGTTTTCGAGCCATGGCCCTGTAATTTAGGTGTCAAATGGTCAATAGGTCCTGAAAAAGCCTTACAACGACACAATACTATCACTCGAGGAGAACATTTTTGTTCCAATATTTCACAACTTTGGAACTTCAAGAAATTTATGGGAATGGAAGCATTTTATTTCTGCAGAACCTCACATTCCCTTCTCCATCTTTAGCATTTTTTACCTTAAAGTCCTACTTTAGGGCAAAATTTGTTACTATACTCTTGGGAACTTGGGGGTGGTTGTGGGGACATTCAGCAACATAGAAACAGCTTCCAAACTATAATGACCAGTTTACATCAGAATCCAAGTCAAAATTATTTATTAAATGTTAAGATAGGCAATATGTTACGTGCATAATATTGTCCCAAGGCGAGAATTTAGATGATGATTACTATTATTATTAGGGATAGACAACTCTATTTAAGGAATTCAGGACAAGGATAGGGTGGAGACTGCTGCGTGAACCACAAATTGCTATCAAATAGGCTACAGTTTGAGCAAAACATTAACAAAAAGGATTGGGAAAAGGAGACAGCTGGGAAAGGAAGTAATACTGGTTTAGTGCAGTAGAGTTCTGGCCTTAGGATGAGAACTGTGCAGGAGTGGAAATGATAGGGGACAAATCTTTGCCACTGCAATTGCCACCAGATGAATGTTTAATTGAAGTGGAGATTTCATCTGTGACCTATAGGTTACAAGCATCATTGTGTGTGTCCCTGTGTGTACAAACACACAAACATACAGTGCTCATAGTGCTGCATTGTGAAAACTTAGTTTATGTGGTCTTTGATATGAAATCTACAGGACTTCAACAGGAAGTAGATCAGTCATTTAGGCTTTACATAATGGTGAGATAAAGAATCTGACCAATGTGGTCTTAAGTTCAACAGCAGTAGGATAGCAGCTAAAACATTATTTCTCAGGAGTAAAATTTAAAGCAATAAGCATTACATTTGTTAATGATCCCAAACATAAAGCTCAATTAAATAAGATGAAGTAGTGCTGAAATTTCATTTGTCTCCTGCCATTGAATTCTATTACAGGACCATTTTTTTTACAGCAAAACACAACAGCCTTAATTTGTTAATTATTTGAAAACCATCCTTGGCAATAATTTTGGAAGTCACCAATCTGCCATTTATTGTACCTCAATTAGGCTTCATAGGACTAGATCCAAATTGAGTCATAGCTAGAGTAAACACTCCGAAATAATTAATCTTAAATGTTATGTTTCATCAATTTCAAGCTTAATATATCTCATAAAATCAAAAGGACACATTACTTGTTTCCATTGCTCATTTCTTACAGACTTAATGAGACCATCACCTGTCAAATATAGTTTAATCTCCAAGATTATGGTATGCTGGTCTGCATACTGGTCTGTCCGCTTACACTATTCATTATTTTATGATGTTCTAAATGGCTCTCAGAGGTAAAATGAGGTAAATACTGCTCTACAAAATTGGCCCAATGTATTCCTCCATATAATTAATGTTAAGGATAGAGAAATACAAATGAATTCAGTTTTGCATTTTCAATTTGCATTTTTGCATCCTATTTCTGAGTTGACCTATATATATATATACTTTGATGTATGCTTTCTCTAAAATACTATTTTTTGTGGAAGATTTCTTAATATATACATTATAGCACATACTCGTCACTTGACTGCATGCAATATTCACAAAATGGAGTCACCAGTGTATGAATATAGTCACCATGTTTCATAAATGTATATTTAGAAAATATAAACTAGCATTAAAATAGGAAGCAACTTTCTTTCTCACTTTGGGGCACCATGAATCCTAATTCTGGCAAGAAATTTTACAAAACTTTAGTATTCTGTTGGTGAAAACATTGTTAAGTATATTAAGTATCACGTATATCTATTAGCCTTTTTGCCACTATTTTATTGTACTTTCCTTGGTTTACTAGGGGATTTAAATAACTTGACTTACTGTTCAGTAATGACAATTATAATGATGACAAAGCTGACCACTGCAAAGAAAATTGATACTACCACAACTTCTATTTTTAGGACATTTGTTTCATCATTGGTTCTTTTTGTCTTCAAAAACTGTTCCACGCAACGTTCACCAAAGTAATCTGGGTGGCATCTGAAAGCAAATCATGAGAATGCACAATTATTTGTGCATCACTGCTATTCTAAACATATATAGAACACTAAAATGATGTTCAAAGTATCTCCAGGTACATCCACTGTATTTATTCCCTTTGTTTAATTCCCTCTGTGTTCGTTTCAAATTCAAACAATAGTTTGAATTCTTGATCATTTTGATGGGAAGTACCAGGAAAGGCAACTTCATTTTCATATGAGGCCATAATGCTACAACTTCACACTCTCATGTCATGCTACACACACACACACACACACACACACACCCCTACACCTGCATTTTGAGAGTTTGGCAACTGGTTTGCCTTTACGTAAGCATTGCATGATTATGTGACTTTCATCTGTAATTTTGTTGCTAGTTTTTGGGGAAAAATGTCCATTCGGAAGAATAGGTTTGCACTTACGACCATGATGCTCGCTTAATGATCATGGATTCACTTAATGACCATAGTGATTTGCTTAACAATCACTGCAAAATTGTCGCAAAATCAGGTCCAGTCACGTGGGTGCATCGGCTTACAACCGTAATGACTTACGACTGGAAATCCTGTCCCGATTGCGGTCGTAAGTCGAGGACTACCTGTAATAACATAACAAAAGGAGTATTTCAGCCTACAGAAGAGTGCATGGAGCTTACATATGTTAGTTCTCCCCCCCCCACCTCCAATCTGGAAACTTGGTTCTGTCACTGGCATATAGTTCATTGGGCTTCTAGACAGCTTTGATTTACCCCGAGGAACAAGAATTTCTGGGAAAAACCACAGATATTCACTTTACGGGGTATGCCATTTATCTGAGCACAGTTAAATGAATCTCCAGATTCCTGTAGTTTGATTGCAACTCACTCAGTGATAAACTCCATTTGTCGCGCTGTCATAAATCATAGTTTACAGCCACAAGTGCCTGCTGCACATAACATATCAAACACCAACCAACAAAATTACACCTTGTGAATTCTATCCAGATTAATGGAGGATATATGTTTACAGGCAATATAGTGGTCAGGGCCAGGGACACTATATTAATTTTTTCTTATGCTTCCACAACACTGGCGAGTAGGGAATTAATTTTTTTTTGCAGATTCATATATTCTGTTTCATCACTCTATTAATAACTCTGTGAGAGAATATGGTAATATTTTCAGGTGCCATCTATGGCAACATATTAGCTATCAAAATAGAGATATTCATAGTTTTATTAACGTTTGTTATTTAACTTACTTGCAAACAGGTATTAGAAACTGTTCGATGTATCTGCATTCACCATGAACACAAAAACCTTTATATTTTCCTTCGCATGGAGTTTTAGTTTTCCTTTTAGTTTTCTTCTCGTTTCCTTTTCTTTTGGGTTTGTTAGGGTTCTTTTTTCCACCACCTAAATTTGCTGGATTCTTAATGGGTAGTTTCTCTGGAAAAAAAAGTATTAATTATATTCAATTTCTGCAGAGAGGCATTGCACTCTTGTGATCAAAATGCTAAAAACTAAGAGTTCTTCTAAAACTCTAAAAAAAAGAAAAAGAGGAACCTAGTTTATAGCAATTCCTTAGGCACAGAAACCACCTGAGTGACCTTGAGCCTTTCTTCCTGAAGGAGCAGGAAGCTGGCTGATAAACAACACCCTTTTGCAAAAACACACTGATAGCCCCACTGTAAAAACTAGGTGCGCAAAAATAAGTGGAACCTGCATGAGGGAAACACGCTAAGAATAAACCAATGGCCTACATTGGCATCTCTGCAGTGAGCTCACTGGAAGACTTTGATTCCAACCCACTAGTCTTATTATATAGGTAACACAAAGAAAAGGGCTTCGATTGGTGGAGAGATGGAAGAAAGATTTTAATCTCAGATTCATATTGTTCAAATCAGAATATTACTTTGATTGCAAGTACAATTATAAAGCAAAGAGATGCCATAATGGTGACCAAACATATATACACAAGCAATGTACAATGGCTATGTTCACCTGAATAAGTGGTTATTTGTCATGGAAATCCTAAATTTTAACTCTAGGATTTACTTTAAACAGTCCCAGGTTTATATTAATTAGACATTAATGAACCGTTAACCCCTTTATGCAAGCACTGTAACCTAATAAAAATAATTGTCCATCCTCATCTACAAAGTTACAACTTGAAGCTTCTCTCTTAAACTATGAGAGGGGTGGTGGTGGCAATCTCCTTTGTTATTGGTTTTCTTCCTCATGATGCTGGACCAAAATCAGCAGAGACAATGGTTTGTGCAAAGCTCAGAGAATAGCAGGCATTTCCAGAAGAAAATGAATGGAGATCTGCATTCCCAAAATGACTTCTGATGTGTGAAAACATATTATCTGGGTTAAGCATATTGTGCAACTATAGCTAATATGTTTGTGGCAGCAACTCTACTGCAACAAGAAAACAAATTCAAGAAAACATTCAATTACGCCGTCTTCGGTCCGACTTAAGCATGGTATATAAAATCATACATTGCAATGTCCTACCTGTCAATGAATACTTCAGCTTTAACCATAACAACACAAGAGCACACAACAGATACAAACTCAGAGTAAACCGCACCAAACTTGATTGCAGGAAATACGACTTCAGCAATAGAGTGGTCAATGTCTGGAATACTCTACCCGACTCTGTAGTTTCTTCCCCAAACCCCAAAAACTTTAACCTTAGACTGTCTACTATTGACCTCACCCCTTTCCTAAGAGGTCTGTAGGGGGCGTGCATAAGCGCACCAACGTGCCTACCGTCCCTGTCCTATTGTTTCTCTTATTCTTTTATTTTTCTTATATGTACCCATTTCATATATTCACAACTATGTATACACTTGTACTTATTATCTTGTAAACAATTGACAAATCAAATAAATAAATAAATAAATAAATTCAGTTTTCTTCATACTAAAGTCAATTTGCTATTCCAGACAGTGAAATCTTCTGGTGCAGAGAGATCATGTTCCCATATTTAGAAGCAAGGGCTAGCTACATATCTGAACAAAAAATAAGAAGAATTCATTGATGGTCTTGATAGAAGTAAATATTTATGTAAAGTTTTGATTTGATGCAATTATTTTACATTTTAAGAATTTCAAAATCAGGAAAGAGAAACAGGTTTTATAATAACCTCTGCCTTTCTAAATGTAATTAAAGAAAGTCAGTGTGCAAAACATTTTAATATAATCAGTCTTTTTTATTTCTCTCTGTAATAAAGTCAAAACTAATAATATAAACATTACTGCTGAGCAGTAAGATAAATTAAAGTTAGAAGTTTAACAATTCTAATGAGGTGTGGTAATATGGTTAACCCCAAAGATATTTGCATTTCAGAGGGGTTTAAAAGATCAGAGTAGATAATTATGTGGTTTTAGACAGGGTTTCACAATGATCTGCCAATTCAAAAATGCATATTGTGGGATTGAGAGTATGATTTGCAATGGATTTCTCATTTCTAATCAGCATAAAACAGTCTGAACGGATTATTTTTCTCTCCCTGACACGACTTCACTTACAGGTAAGGTATAGTCAATTCTCTAGCTCAAAGGTGATTTGAAACCCTAATGAAACAACTTGTTTTTTGTTTAACAGCCTTTACCTTCAAAGCTTTATGGCCAACTGACATTCACATGGAGCAGAAATCTAGCATTTAGATGATTCTTGGTTATTATATATTGATACCACATGCACAACTTTTTGTACCATTTGGCATTTTCCATCAGCAGGAATAATTAAACCAGCAAGAACTTAACACAAGGGACAAGCAACCTGTGGGCCTCCAGATGTTTTGGACTTGAAATCCCAAGAGGCCTGCATGGCCAATGGCAAGGATTATGGAGGTTGTAGTTCAAAAAAATCTGGGGACATCAGGTTGTCTCCTCATGTAGCCAGAACAGGTTCTTGTGTTTTATTTACAACCAAGGACATGCAACCCTTTTCTTCTGAGTCAGAAATCTTAGTGAGTTTTTACCTTGCTTATTTTAACACAGCTTTCCCACATCTAATACCCTCAATATGTATTACATTATAACTCCAGTGTAACTACTGGGGAATGATGGGAGCTTGCTGTTACTTATCTGGAAGGCATATAGCAGAGAAGGCTGATTTAGCCCTTTCTGTAATAGAAGGACCTAAACAAGAGTGAAGGAGTCAGGAACTCATGAATGATACACCAGAATTCTCCCGCATTACATATGAGCAAGCTGGAATCCATTTCTCCCAAGTGATCCAAGGTAAAATGGAATGATATTTTTTTCCTGCTGTATCTTCATAGCAGCCCTTTATGTTGGATCAGACTGAGAGAGCATGATTGGTCTGAGATGTGTCAAAAATGTATTCTATGGAGGAGGCATTTTCTTATCTGCAGTTTGTCAGGATCAGGTCTAGCAACCCAAGAGCTCCCTCCTGAACATATAGCCTTTGCTTATTATGCTCTAGCCCCAAAATGTAAAGGGTTGCGCCAAATCTTCTTGTTATAGAAAATAATTTATTTTTCTATTTAAATTTCTACATCAACAAAATCTGAAAATACCATAGCTCTTTGTAATATATTTCTGTGAAGGCAATCAGATGTACATCTTGATCAGATGTACATCTTGGGAAGAATGTTATTCCTATTTGTTTAATCGCTATCCAGAGGGATAAACATTAATCTATAACAAGCCAGTAAGCAGTATATCTGATTAGCAAAAGTATTTCCTATATATAGTTAGGGCTAAATGATGCATTAAATGAGTAGTGAGAAAAGGCCATGAGATAAACTAGAAAATTCAAGCATCAGAGACCAAGGGTTAAATGCGACTTTCTATTAAGTATACAATTGCACTATGAAATTTTACTTAAGCCTGATTTTCAATTAAGTTCAAAGAAATTTGCATGCATATTCTGCACTAATAGCACCTTTGCCAACACATTTATAATTTCTGAAGCATCCAACTAAATCTATTTATTCTGCAATTTGATTTAACTGTTTAATTCAGTACTATATTCACGCAAACATATCTCAATTTAAAGAGGCATTTAGTTCTTTCTTTTACTTAAATAATTGAACATCATAGAAACATCTATCTTTAAGTAAGTAGAGCTTCCCAATGGGACTGAACTAAGGAACTAAAGGAATTGTTTCTAAGTAAGCCATTAGCTAATCAGATAAAGTTGATTTTTGTATAAAAAGAACTTCCAAAACATTTACTTCTAACATTTTTAAATATTATAATCCAGATTAGTTGCCCTACAGGAACCTTTATATATTGTGTAGTAAGTTATCAGAATGGATCATAAAACAACATGCTGAATATTGTTTTGAAATAGCAGGGTCTTGCAATCTAACTAATTGGGTTTACACCATGCAATTAAAATAACAAAACTAAAAGTGGAGAGATCAGATTTAAGTCCTGAGTAACTTGGAGCAACCTATTTGGTGACATTGTATTTTTTGTCCTATGGATAACCTGATAAGAAATTCCCACATATGCCATCTTAGAAGAAAAGTGATATATATACTTGTAATAAAATATAAATAATATAATTTGTCATTCTAAAATAAATGAACACATTATAGGAATGATATTCATTCCTTGTTAGAACTTTATTCTATACAAATAAGTTAATTAAGCTAATAAAGCTAACCTTTTCCACAAAAATCTTTACTTGAGTTAATGTCCATGGTTAAAAAAGTGCAAAGCAAATATTTATTTATTGATACTTCATATTTCTTAACTGCAAATCTCTCTTGGAAAAGAATTCTAGGTTGTGAACAATATATCATCAATAAAATTAAATATTAAAATCAGAATAATTTAGAATTAAAGGTTTTAAAATTATAAAAACATTATAAAAATGTTAGAATGTGAAGAATTTCAAGATGGCAGATTAACAAGTATTAATAGAAGTGGTGTAGAGGAGAGAGAGGTGGGTTCTCATATGTTATTATAATTAAGATTCATATGGTTTTTCTCTTGCATTTTGTCAGACAAATACTTATTGGCAACACTAATATTTTTTATCCATAGTTGCTTAGGCTAGTGATATACATTAATCCTAAAGAATTCTGAATGTTTTCACTGCCTTTTCCTCTGCCCATATTCACAGGTATCCTAAGCATGACTGAGAAATAATAATGATCCTTATGGCATTCACCCAGTGAATGCACAACAAATAATAAAGCAAACCATGGCCAAATGTGGTTTGCCACTTCCTCTCCTTTTTAGTTGATATTTCAAAAATCTTGGTACTAATTGATACTTCCTGTTCCTTTTTTTATTTTTGTGATCAACACTGAACATCTGTGAATAGAATGGGGGTAAAGCTAATGTTTTCCCTTGTTTCTAAAACAGAGGTGAAAAATAAAATGAAGTAATTAGAAATGCTTCTCCAGGACCAGCTCAGCTAAGGCTCCTGTAGCACAACCAACATAAATATGCAATTATTAACTCAAATGATTTATAAGAAAGATTTGACTCAATTAAGAAAATAAAAATATTTATGAACCAAATACTTTTGGAAGTTCAATATATTGGCTCAGGAAATATGAGTATGGCAATACATTATATTCATATTCCCAAGAAATAATATTTAATTGAATTTCTGATTTTCTAAATTCTGATAAACTTATCCAATCTGATTTTAATATCGAAACTCTAATCAAAATTTTGCAATTTACTTTATCCATCAATACGTTACAGATACATTTTAAGAAAAAGTATGCTTTAAAATGTCAATTTCATTATGAATATAAATTCCTTCTTAATATTGCAAATGAATGCCTAAATGAAGTAGAATGGAATGGCTGATACTAAACTACTTCAAAAGTAATATAAATTTTAAAAAAGGTTCATTCCCACTAATATTATATCAGAGGTAATACATTCAAGATTTATTTGACCATGACACAAAATTAAAGTTATATTTTATTGACATGTTTTATATGTTTGTTAACTTTATTTGGGACCCATCTCATTGTGGGGCAACTTACAAGAGTAAAATGGAAGAAATGCTAAAAATGTAAACATGACAATAGCAAAGCTATGAAACAATACAAATAAATGAAGTACAACAATATCAATTAAAAGGTGGTCTGGGGGACAGGAAGTGCAAGGGGGAGGTAGGGTCAGCTAATTAGTCTAGTAGCCATCTCCAGTGTGGTTCTCTCCCACAGGGTCCTCAGGCCAACTGGCAGAGCCATGTCTTTAGGTCCTTTCAGAAGAATAGAAAGATGGGGACAGACCTCAACGGGGGGAGGGGATTAGAATGTTTGCAGGCTTAGTGTTATAGTAGAGAAGGCTCCTTTGTATACTTTATGAACCTCTTTGTTATGCTGGCAGATGGTTACCTCTTTCTATCTGGAGCTATGGTGGCACAGTGGTTAGAATGAAGTATTGCAGGCTAATTTTGTTAACTGCCAGAGTTCAATTCTCACCAGCTCAACGCTGACTCAGCCTTCTGAGGTCGGTAAAATGAGGACCCAGATTGTTGGGGGCAATATGCTGACTCTGTAAATCACTTAGAGAGGGCTGTAAATCACCGTGAAGCAGTATATGTGCTATTGCAAGTGTTATTATAATTTTGAAGAATCAAAATAAACAATAAGAGAAAAGGGCCTGTTTTAAGGCTTCAAATTTCCACTCTTCCCAACACATATTACATGGGCTTTGGACAAAGTTTGTTTATAGTGCAAGTTGAACGACCTAGAACAATAAAGACTATTTAAAAACAAAAGAATGCCTTATATTTCATTTCAGTATTCCATTGGGTTTTTAAAAAAAGATTTAATTTTAAGGGCAACAGTAAAATCCATTTATTTTTTCCTCAGTAAATAAGCTTCATTTTGGTTAAAAAGGGATTTTTATACAGTAATAAGTTGAAACCTACATGGTGAACACACCTATTAACTATTTGTAAAAAAAAAAAAAAGTTTCTGAGATTTACCAAAGTTTCTTGAAAGACATATTTTGTCACAGCTTCTTGAAAAACATACTTAGTACCAAACATTAAAGTTCCCAGGATACCTTGACAGAAATGGATTGCTTGTAATATTAGCTTAAATTTATATTGTAGAGGTATAGTTGAGGTTCAGAAGCCAACTTCATCCTTGTGTCCAAAATGTACTTCTTTTGTACTAGTGTGAAGTCCTTGCCAATGATATATATGCTATAGAATAATCTTCAAATTCTTGGAAACAATCATTCAGACAGCAAGCATGTGACTATTGATTTATTTAGAAACAAAAAAGGACAAAAAGGCAGAATTGTTCACAAAGACACCATAGTGCATATATAGGTCTATTAGATACCTTTTAAGACATATTCATTTTATGGGATCCTTGGTTGATTTCTTGCAGACATTTCATTACCAAATTAGGTAACATCATCAGTGCTCTGAGGAGTATGAAGTGCTCTGAGCTATCTAATTTGGTAATGAAATGTCTGCAAGAAAACCACCAAGTTCCATCAAGGACTCTACAGTTCAACCCTGAGCTATAAATAATCTCTTCCATGGTACATCCATTTTTATTTGGCTAAAGTCTTTGGATTCATGGAATAAAATAAAGGAAGAATAGGGTTCTATGATGCTTAGAGTATATTCTAAGAAAGCCCCTGTCTTGTCAGGAACTACAAAGCAACAGTTCTTCGCAAAAATTATACCAGCCTCCTCTCAGGTGCCTCAGTCCCAAATGGGCAAGCATTCTATATTTTAACCTACCTCTTCCTGCATCGTTCACAAGGAACTGGGGTTCTCTCACTTCCTTCACATTATCTTCTGCCTCTTCAGATTCAACTCCTGATGATAACCGATCAGTGGAAGATACATTGAACATGTTCAAGCTGGGCATGTTTTGCTCGTCTTTTGTTACATTTAGCTCTGATCCAGTAGCATGATGGTAGACTGTGGAAGAGAATTGAAAGAAATGGATACCATTCTTACTAGGCAGGCAAAACTAGCAGAGGTGTTTATCTGAAAATTATACTTGGCAGCTGTTGCACATATAGTTACTCTTATTCTCATAGTGAGTCATTCAAAAAACAGCTCACAGTTTTTCTAGTAGGAATTTGTTTAGATTGCCCCAGAATGTTAAAATTGCCTGGCCAATTTCCAAGTTATTGCATTCCATTAACCAGAACCTTAGCAAGTGTTCTTTAAGAAATATTGACCTCATACCGTGGGTACAAGCCATTACACAATGGATTTTGATCAAACAACTAACAAAAACAAATATCTGGCCACTCTGATTTAAAGTTTGCAACATGCATTCTCCTTTTCTAAAACCATAAAGCAGTTATTCAGTATTTAAAATTCCTCTAGCAAAGAAATCAGCATTACTGGACTAAGAATCACTTTGAATTAAACTATACTCAGAATTGTGACCTCTCTAAAATAGTGGAAAATAGTGAGTGCCTCCTTTCATGATTTAATTAAACAAGAAGCATCCACAATAAAAAAAAATTAGTGCTATCTCAAACGTACAAGAGTACAAGGAAGCTGAGGCAGGATCATACCAAGAGAGAGTTGAGTTATAACTCTGTACTCAGCAAAAAGATCTCAAATTTTGTGACTTAGCGAAGCTGTTCTTAGCAGGGTTCTTGTACAGTAAGGAGAGAAAGAGGAGGTACGGAAAATAAAAGAGATAAATTCATAGACTGAATAACAAATACAGCAATGAGATTTTGAGGATGGTTTCAATGAAGTTCCCATCGCATATAACGCCACCTTCAAATACCCCAAACAACAAAATCAAACTGAGAAGGTGAAAGAGAATAGGGTCTGGCGGGAAACGCAGAAGGTACCCCCTATCCCCGCCACTGTTCCTCAACCTTTCAGGCGCCTCTTATTTCCAAACAGCAGTGTAGTTCCAGCATAACTTTCAAAAAAAAGAGAGAGAGAGAAAACCGGGGAAAGCGGGGAAAGCGGGGCCCAATTCAGAAAACTGCAGCGAGCGACGACCCTAATCCCAGCAACGCACCACTCCAAATTCCTCGCTTGGCCGCCGAAGCTTCTCGCACCCTCTGCCCCGCCTTCTCGACAGGGTCCATCGCTCGCCTGCCTACTCACCTGGACTCTGGAGCAACAGGAGAAGGAGGAGAACGAGCGGGGCACGCATTGAGGGGAAAGGGGCGTCCTCGGGGACCGGTTTGCCTAGTAAAGAGTGAGCGAAAAGCGCGCTGAAACGGTTGAGGAGGAGTCCCTTGGTGCCTGGCGAGTGTTACGCTCGGAGCGGCGGCAAGACACTCCATACCCATCGAGCGAGAGATATATATGCACTGCCGCCGCCGCCACTGAGAGGCCGGCCGTCAGGCAGGGCGGTCAGATGAAGCTCGACGTCAGCCGGGTGGGGAAGGGAACAGGTGCGCCTCGGGTCGGGAGACATCACCCAGTTGCGTGTGGCGCAAAGAGCAAGCCGGTCGCGGAGGCGGACCGGCAGCGGCAAGATAGAAAGCCGTCGGATGAGTCAGCTAGGGTCACGCTCTTTACTTATAGTCTCCAACGGCTGTAGACGTCTCGTCAGGTACATAGAAGCGGAAGATCGACTAGATGAGAACCAAGTGGGTCGGATTGTTTGTCTCGAGTTGCCCCAAAGGGGGCTGAAGTAGCCTTTTCATGTTCGGAATGGACTCCATGGGACTTGGAGTAGTTCCAGCCATATTTTCCTTCCCTTTCCAAGCGTTTTCCCTGTAGCATTATGGAAGCAACTCTGTTTTCAAACATGACAACTTTAAGATGCATAGAGTTCACCTCCCAGAATTCCCCAGGCAGCATGCAGCCCTACAACTGAGGAAGTGATCTGAAATGATTGAAAAAGTGGAAGGAAGAGATTCCCCATCTTCACATTATTTCCCTGTGGGAGGCAGCTGCACACAAGTCGAGGATCACACCACATTTTTCATCATCCACTGCATACTAGCATAGGCTATGTTCTGAATTGCACCTAACCATGGTACAAATATAACCTGGTAACATCCTTGTCGGGACATTGCCCTCATCTTTCCAGACTGCAAGTCTTCAATAACCTTTGCCTTGCCCAATGATAGCCACAAGAGAAAAATGGGCTAATTGCAGCTGCCAGTTTGATTTTTGTGTTTCCCCATCAGAATGGCTGCAACATTAAAGTAAAAAAATATCCCCATATTATGAGACTATCCAAAGGCAGTATGAAGGTATGTAAAACCTCTCAAATTTTGTCATATGTGAGCTGGAGAAATGTCTGGGCACTACAAGTACTGGAAAGAGACAAGATAAAAATTGGCAATGAGGGCAGCAAATTTCATTGTGGTATATTTGCAATCCTGACAGGCTCAAGGTTGGTTTAGCTGTTCATCCTCCTGAGGTCAGTAAAATGAGGACACAGATTGTTGGGGGCAATATGCTGACTGTAAATTGCTTTGCGTTGTAAAGCACCTTGAAGCAGCATATAACTCTAAGGGCTTTTGCTATTCCAGTTCTGTAAGCAGAATTGTATCTTGATAAAGGAAAAAGATCCATAGTGTTAGTATCTGAAGCCCAAGCAATTTTGCATTTATAGTTGAGTGTAATTGCTTTTAATACTGTTGGCACATACAAATTTCACAAAGAATGGCCCTGAAGTTGGATGCAATTGCCTAAATACAGTGCATTCAGAAAGTATTCAAAAAATTCACTTTTGTCAATTTTGTTATGCTGCAGCCTGATTTTACAGTTACTGAAATTCAATTTTTTCTCATTAATCTACCCTCAGTACTCCAAAGTGAAAATATAATTTTAGAAATGTCTGTACATTTATTAAAAAGAAAAAAAACTGAAATATCACATTAGCTAAGTATCCAGACCTTTCATTCATACTTTGTTGAAGCACCTTTGGCAGAAATTACAGCCTTGAGTCTTTTTTGTTGATGTGACACGCTTTGCACGCCTGGATTGGGGGATCTCTTGCCATTCTTCCTTGCAAATCCTCTCAAGCGCAGTCAGGTCGGATGGTGACCATTAGTGGACAGTCATTTTCATGTCCCTCCAGAGATGTTCAATAGGGTTCAAATCGGCTGTGACTTGGCCATCCTAGGACATTCACAGAGCTGTCCCTGAGCCAGTCATGTGTTGTCTTGGCTCTGTGCTTAGGGTCCTTGTCATATTGGAAAGTGAACCTTAGGCTCAGTTTGAGGTCCCGAATCCTATGGAATAGGTTTTCATTGAGGATATCCTTGTACTTTGCTTTATTCAGCTTTATCTCAATTGTGACCAGTCTCCCTGCTGCTGAAAAACACCTCCAAAGAATAATGCTGCCACCACCACCATGTGTCACTGGGATGATATTGAGCAAGTGATGAGCGGTGCCTGGTTTCCTCCAGATATAATACTCAGAATTGATGCCAAACAGTTCAATCTTGGTTTCACCGGACCAGAGAATCTTGTCCTGACAGTCTGAGAGTCCTTCAGGTGCTTTTTTAATGAACTCCAAGCAGGCTTTCATGCAGGGGTGGGATTCAAATTTTTTAACAACCGGTTCTGTGGGCGTGGCTTAGTTGGTGGGCATGACCAACTCAATATCACTCACATCGAGGCACGCATCTTCTTGCCTGGCCTCTCATTACTGTGGGGGATGCTGCAACAGTCGTAAGTGTGAAAAATGGTCGTAAGTCGCTTTTTTTCAGTGCCATTGTAACTTTGAATGGTCACTCCATACAAGCAAAGTACCAGCAAAGGAGGGGGGGGAAATCCAGAGATGTTCCTGAGACAGGAAGTCTAGTCCTGCCAAGAATATAATAAGGCTTAACGGAGAGGCAGATTCTGTAAGCAACACCAGACTGTTTCCTTCCTGCCTTCCTTACAGGATTAGGCCAGTAATTTCTTCTAACAACCGGTTCTCCAAACTGCTTAGAATGTTAACAACTGGTTCTAGAAATAGGTGCAAACCGGTAGAATCCCACCCCTGCTTTCATATATTTTGCATCGAGGAGAGCCATTCTGCCATGAAGCCCAGATTGGTGGAGGGCTGCAGTAATTGGCTGGTCTTTCTGGAACACTGTCCAATGTCCGCATAGGATCTCTGGAGCTCAGCCAGAGTGAGCATCGTGTTGATCACTTCTCCTATACTTCTCCTTCTGCAAAGGTACATAAGATAGCATTGTTATTTTATAAACAGAAATAATTTTAGGAAATATTATTAAAATGATGGATAAAATATTTACTGTAGTGTAGTTGAATGTTTGGTAATAAATAAATGAATTAAAATGATTGAGAGAATTAAATGGGAAGATTTTTAATTATTAGTAATGATTTATAAAAATATAAGTGAGAAATATGGAAAAAAAAGAATTAACTATGGAAAGTTTATAAGTGTTCCCAAGGAAGTATGATATTTAATTGAAAAGAAATGTTAAAGATGTTAAGATTTTAATGAATATTAATGATAGAATTGAATTGAATTGGAATGGAATGTGTGCTTTATTTACATATATATATAATTTTTTCTTTTTAAGAATATAGTGTGTAATTTAAGAATGTACCAAACAGAATTCGATTGGAAGTTATGTATTATATTGAATGCTATAATCTTAAAGCTATACATTGAAGCTTAAATAAGAGTTTGAATGGATAAAATTAAAAGATATAAAGGTGTCATACTCCAATTGGTAACTACAGGGAAAAATTTGTTTAATAAGAAAAGTAATATGAAATTGAAACAGGACAGACAAAAGTATAAATATAATGATTTGATTGAGATGAGATAATTAAAATAAAGTTGAGAAAATTAAAAGAGGAGAAAAACTATGTAGAAAATATAAAACGGTAATAAGATATGGAATAGAATATAAAAATGAGCATGAAATTGAGTTTGGTGTCTGTATGAAGAAGTGATAACCTGGGACCATGCTATTTTCAAAAAAGATGTTTTATTTGTATTTTGTTTTTGTGAAAACCCAAATAAAACTTTCAAAAAAAAAAAAAGAGGAAAGGGTTGAGGTCAATAGTAGAAACTCTAAGGTTAAAGTTTTTGGGGTTTGGGGAAGAAACCACAGAGTCAGGTAGAGTATTCCAGACATTGACTACTCTGTTGCTGAAGTCATATTTCCTGCAATCAAGTTTGGTGCGATTAACCTTGAGTTTGTATCTATTGTTTGCTCTTGTATTGTTATGGTTGAAGCTGAAGTATTCATTGACAGGCAGGACATTGCAATATATGATTTTGTATACTATACTTAGATTGGACCGAAGGCGGCGTAGTTCTAGGTTTTCTAGGTCTAGAATTTCAAGTCTGGTGGCATAAGGTATTCTGCAACGAGTAGAGGAGTGGAGAACTCTTCTTGTGAAATATTTCTGGACTTTCTCAACTGTGCTAATATCAGATACGTAATGTGGGTTCCAGACTGATGAGCTGTATTCGAGTATTGGTCTAGCAAATGTTTTGTATGCTCTAGTTAGTAGTGTAATATTACCAGAGAAAAAGCTACGTAAGATTAGATTAACAACTCTTAATGCCTTTTTGGCAATGTAGTTACAACGGGCTCTAGCACTTAGATCATTAGAGATGAGTACTCCAAGATCCTTGACAGAGTTTGGATCATCAACAAGGTCTTGACCATTCAGCCTGTATTTTATTTTCTGATTTTTTTTGCCAATATGTAAGACAGAGCATTTATTTGTTGAGATTTGAAGTTGCCATTTGTTTGACCATTCTGACACATAGTCTTTTTGAAAGGTAGCAGTATTGTCTGTGGTGTTGAATAGCTTTACATCATCAGCGAAGAGAACGCAGTTGCTCTTAATATGATCACGGAGGTCATTTATGTAGAGTATGAAAAGAGTTGCTCCTAGAGCACTGCCTTGGGGGACACCACTGTTGACAGGTACAGAATTTGATAGAACACTCCCAATTTTGACCATTTGTTGTCTGTTTGACAGGAATGCTTCTATCCAGTTATGCAGGTGTCCAGAGATACCATAAAATTTTAGTTTTAGGACTAGTTTGTCGTGTACCACTGAATTAAAGGCTTTACAGAAGTCTATGTAGATTGTGTCTATTGCTTTGCCCTGATTGAGTTGTGTAGTCCATATGTTTTTGCAGTGTAAGAGTTGCAGATTACAGGATAGTTTTTTTTCTGAAACCAAATAGTTTATTAGAGATCAGGTTGTTTGTCTCTAAGTGGAGGATGATGGATTGGTTAATAATTGATTCCATGACTTTAAAGGTGATGCAGCATAAAGAGATTGGTCTGTAATTTTCAACTAGGCTGGGGTCTCCCTTTTTGAAGATGGGGATGACCGTGGCTTGTGACCATAGTTTTGGCAAAGAGC